CTCAGCCTATCATGAGCGAACCAAGCACATAGATGTGAGGCTGCATTTCGTCAGAGGGGTAATCGAGCGTGGAGAAGTCCAAGTGCTGAAGGTTTCGACAGATTACAATGCCGCTGATATGATCACCAAAACATTGCCAAGTTGCAAGTTTTTCCACTGTATGCAGTTGATAAAGCTGCATGAAGAAAGCTAGTTAGTGTCTCTTGATGCTGTAGAGTTAGGTCCAAGGTGGAGATTTGTGGGATTTTGGATCGAACTCTAGCATGATCGAAGTACATGCTGTAGTCGAAGCATGTATTTGTCGAAGAATGCTTGTTAAATTAGGTTTTAGTGTTTAAACCCTAATTTGTTAAGTTAGCTTGATTATTAAGTTAGCTTGTATAATGGGCCTTGTGGAAAAAGCCCATTAGTTAGTATGTTAGGTTTTATTATAAATAGCATACTAGTCTCTCATCATTGCATCACAGCAAATCCTAATTTAGGGTGAGAGGGTTATTTGTTATTCTTGTAAACTTGTAATCTTGTTTTCTAAGAGAAAGTAAAGAATAGCAGTTATAACCAATTATTGTGTTCTTCTTCTTCCTTGTTCTTTATTCTTCCCTTATTCTATACTTTGTTATTGGCATTGAATTCACAACAGTCTGTATGGGGTACGCATGGAAAAATGGGATGTCCGCATTGCATGGATCACACAAAAGCGTTTACTTTGGATAAGAGTGGAAAAAGTTCGTGGTTTGACTGTCACCGTAGGTTCTTCCCTGCAAACCATGAATTTAGAAGAAATAAGAATGCTTTTAATTAATTTATCATTTAAATTTTAGATTACATGTAAATAATTATTTGTTTACTTATTTAATTAGCATGACGAGTTGGGTAGAACTCTACTTCTTAATGAGCTTCATCTAGAGACACGTCTTAAGAGAAATAGAGAGTTTGTTGACGAGCGGTCAAGAAACACTCGAGTAAGTTTTTCTTATATTTAAAACATTTTATTTATTTCTTTTATATAGACCTAACTTATTTGAATTATTATAACATTTAATTTTATTTGTAGGAGGAGTTTGATAAACAACTTGCTCTACAGTTGTCAGAGCATCCTGAACTTGAACCACCATCGGGATATCCTGTTGATTCTGGGTTGGGTTTTCAGACATGGTATGATGTTTTAGGTGGGAAGAAGAAAAATGGAAGAGTGTATGGTGCTAGAGGGTATGCTAAAACTATCAAGCGCCGTGATAGGAGTTTTAGAATGAGACTTGTTGATGGAGAAGGAACATCAACTCCACCTATATTAACCGCCGGAATGCTTGAAATTGTGAGAAACTTGGCGAATACTGAGGCAGCACTCCACGTAGCAGCAAGAAATGCATAAATTGATGAGATGAAGAGAAAACAATTAGAGATGCAATAAGAAATGTAGAGCGGAGAAAATGAATTGCTGGAAGAAATGAGAAGGCAAACACAAGAGTATCAAGAAGCAATACGGATTACAAATGAGTGAGTTCAAAGATTTGATCAATTTTTTGCTTCACAAAATTTCGATGGTGGATTTGGAGGAACTTGTGAATATGGAGAAATTGTTGAAGAAGAAGAACAAGGAGAAGAACAAGATGAACAAGAATAGGATCTTTAATTTTGAAATTTTAATATTTATTTTAATTTGTATGAAAGAATTTATGTTAACTATTTTAAACTTAAAAACTTTATTTTAATTTACATGAAATTTTATTTTAATTTTTTTTATATGATTGAATTTTATTCATTATATTTATTATGTTTAATTATATTTATTATATTAATTTTATTTTAATACATTTAATTAATACATTATTATTACTGGTTTTTATTTTATGAATATTATTTTTTTTTAAATATTTTTACGATTTTCCAGAGGATAAACTCCTGGGAAAATGTCCATGCCTGCATTTTTTCAGGGGCTTAACCCGTCGCAAAAACAAAAGCATTTACATTTTGCCACGGGTTAAATTCCACGCAAAAAGTCTGACACACTGCAACTATCCTGCGCGCTTACGTCTGCAGCATGCAGACTATATAATCCATGTTGCGTTTAGCGAGGGGCATAACCCCTGACAAATTTCACACGTGTATTACCCTTCAGAAATTTATTTGTGACCCCCAGTTTTCTTAGGGGAGCAGTCCCCTCGCAAATTTTGCATTTGTGAGAGGTTTTTGCCATTTGTGAGGGGTTAAACCCCCGGCAAATAACGTTTTTTTTTGTAGTGATTTATTTATTAAAAAAGCCAGATTCACACCTTATAAAACCTAACTAGCCTATTTCCACCCTTACTGTCAACTATCCTCCCTGTCTCATAAAAAATGTCTTATTTACACTTTTTCTATATCTCAAAATAAATGTCCCTTTAGAATATCAATATAATATTTATTATTTTTTTACACTATTATATCATTATTTATTAATTTTCACGCTTTTCAACTACTATATTAAGTATAATAAATAAAAGTGTTTTAATAAGTGATACTAATATTATCATTAAAGTCAACAGATCTAATTATTTTCTTAAGAACCGCGAATAATTCAAATAAGACACTTATTATGAGACGGATGGAGTAATAAATATCGCATATTATATCAAATTATTTTTATTTTTAAAAATTATTAGTAACAAACTCGTGCATACACACGGGTTCTGGTCGAACACGCGAATTGTTTTCACATATAGTAATTATTATTTATAAAAATACATTAATGAGAATAAAATGAATATTTGTAGTACAAAAATATTTTTATTAAAAGTAAATTATAAACAATTTTTGAAAATAATATTACATGGTATTTAGTAATTGATTAATAACTAAAATGTATTATTAGAAAGAGAAATTAAAAGAGAGTCAAAGCGTATAGAAAAAAATTTGTGACATTAAGAAATGCTCTTTATTGAAATAGAAAAGTTGAATTTCCAATAAAAATAGTAATAAGGAAATAATAAAATAAAAATATTTCTTTTTTTATACTATTTATAAAAATATATAAATCAATAATATATTTTTCTCATACATAAAAATAATATCTTTTATAAAAATATTTAGATTAACCATAAATTATTTTCTCGTATTTTAACATCATTTATAAAAACATTTAAATCAATAATACATTTTTTCCATATATAAAATAATACCGATAAAAATTTGATTGAGTAAAAAATTTCAAACACATAACATTGTCAAATCAAATGACAAAATATCAACATAATTTACAAACATGAGCAAATAAATACAAAACATAATCAGTACATTTGCAACTTGCAGTCCAACTTCTTCAACTTTTAAGACTTTTCAACATGCGTAAAACAATAGTATATCATTTGAATTTCTCAAAAAGCTTCAACCAATGCCTCCTGTTCAACAACGGAAAACATCTGATTTCTCGAAAACTACAAAATCATTACATATACACAGCAAACATAAGATATTGTCTAACATAATATTGTACTCTATAGCAGAAACATATCATGGATGAATTAATTATTGTTTGAAACTTATATGGAACTGCCTGTTTAAGAAATATTTATTTCACGATCTCTAAGTCACTTAATTTTAAAACAGAATATTTTCAATCACAAACTTGAGAAAGTTCGAAACAATGCACGGAACAAAGTTGAAAGTTGTAACTATTAAGATGGTAATGAATCCTTAAATACTAAGCCAGCATTCAGATATCGGTTTCATGTGAATGTTTGAAAAAATATTCTAATAATATGTGCTTTGTTTTGATTAATCACTATTGTGAAACAAAGCTTATGTTTGACATACCCAAACTAAAGATTGATTTTAACATAATAACAACATATGTAATGAACAAATGAAGTTGTAAAAAGAGATGAAACAATTATGCCTTTGATTGTTGTATTACTAATAGAACAGTAGATTCTATTAGTAATAAACATCAGAACGCAACATCAGTTAGTTATATTCAGTGTACAGGACATCGGTTTCGGTACAAATGAAGTGGAATTGTTGGAGATTGATTTTGGGCTCCAATTTTGTGTTGCCTCCAAACTTTGCTGAAAAAGATAGATGACAACCATATGAGAGTTCTATAAAAGCGCTCATGTAGAAAATTATATTATAGATTACATGTGTAATTGGATGAATATTTGTGTATGTTACAGTTGGATAAAGTTTTCCATAAGGAGTTAAGTTGTCACCCATATAATCTTTAACTTCAATTTCATTCAAATTGATTGTTGAAGCCAAGTTGGTCAACTTGGATATTAGCTTCATAATAAAGATTGAAATGATAAAATAAATTACTATAATAGTTCTAAGATTGAAATGATAAAATAAATTGCTAGAACTCTATAATTACAAACACAACATATAAATATAAATAAGCAGTACGTACCAACTTATATGGTTTAGTGCATTTAAATGCTGAATTATTTTCTGATCTTACTTTTGTTTACAAAACATTTAACTTGTCTTCATTTTGTTTCTAATTTTAAAGATTTGTAAATGAAATAAGGAGCACTAAATATGACCCGCAACAAACTTGAACCAAAACAGAATAATTCATTACAAGTGTATCAATTTTGTTTCAAGCCTTTCTAAGTCAATGAGTCATTTACATTTCACTCAAATGCATTTCCATCCAATTAATCAAAATACAGTTACCAAGTTAGTAAATTAACTTTCTCTCAGCCGATATAAACCAAAATCCTAACTTTATACCTAAATTGCATCAATAAAAATTCAGATTAATTTCACCTCAATTACATTGCTTTTTGCCCATATTGCAAAACCATTGCAAGTTGCTAATTAACATTTGGAGTTCAAAATACGATTCCACTACATTTCTAAACTCATAACAGCAATATTTTAAAAAAACCAAATTGAAAAAAACCAAAATAACAAAAATACGATTCTGCTATTCAACATTAGTCCAAAAACAGAGTTGTCAATAGCGGGCGCTCCAGCCGCTATCGCGGCGCACCGTAGCGGTGTGGCACCCCCCGCGCGATATGCAGGGTGCGGTGGCGGAGATGGAAAAGCGGCCGCTTCAGCCGTGTTACCGGGTCGTGGATCATGGGTCGCGGGAAGTTCCCGGGCGGAGCGGCTTTGGTTCTCTTTTTTTTTTAAAACAATTTTCTAGGCCAAATTACTTAAATGCCCTTGTTTTAAAACAGTTCTTGTTTTCTATCTCCCTCATTCATTGTGTTCTATCGTGCCCTAATTCCTCAACTCTCATTCATTGTGTTCTATCGTGCCCTAATTCCTCAACTCTCCTACGATTCTGCTGCCATCTCCCTGCAACTCTCCTTCTTCGGTTCTTCCTCCATCTCCTTCTGCCATCTCAGGTGATTTCTTCTAATTCTTCAACTTATTCTACTTCTTTTCTTTCTACTTTCTACTTCTTCTATTTTGTTTTGTTGTAAACACCGTTTCTTACTATTTTGAAGAAGTTGAAGATGAAGAAGATGAAGAATTGGAGGAATATTTTGATGATGCTACATGATTTCTATGTTTGCTTGAATTTTCATATGATAGTACTAACTTTGAATTTGAATCTTTATGTTTTGAATCTTGATTAAGCATTGTTCTTTGTTTGACATTAGATTTTATAAATATTTTATGAGTGTTGTGAAATTAGTTTAGTATTACAAGACATATGTCTTATAGATTATTATATAATTATTAGTATACAAAAAGTTATCCCGCTATCCGGGATCCCGCTATTCCCACTTTTTTCATTCCCGGAGGTCGGCCGCTCCGCTTCGTTATCCAGGATTAATAACTCTGAAAAAAGTAGCTCCAAAACAACCAATAATATTCAATATGGTACTATTTGAAAGGCAAACTGCATATTATAGTAAGCAAAAAAGATAGATATGTGTGCCAGATTCCAAGCATAGTGTTATCCAAAGGTGACATTGTTACTCCAGTACAAAATCCTAGATATAGTAAGAGCTACTTACTATACTGGGCCCTATAAGCATATGAGATCAGATAAATTCTTTGAAATAGAATAACAAAGTATATGACCATTGTATAAACAATATAGAAATATGACTGCAATATATTTCATAAATGAGTGGCTAGATGATTCAAATTGCTTTCTCTAATATTGCTCTCTCTTACTTTTCTATACTTTTAAAATTGCTTACACACCCAGATGATTAAAATACCGCATATCACTGCCATATACTTGAAATTCAAAGCAACACACAATTAAACAAACCAGAGTATTTGATTATTGACTAACAATTTGAGGCTTAACAACTTACAGTAAACCAATATTCAACATCCTTGTCAAATCTTCCACATGACATCTCTCCTCATTCCAATTTCAGCAGCATACCTACTTGAACAAAAAAACACAATAGTTTAAATTGTAATGTTAATACTTTCACATGATACTTCCCATAACAGAGAAGAAAAACACACCCATAAATAAATCTTACCTTTTGAAGATTCTCTATGGCACCAACATCTCCAAATCATTCTATATCATCCTGGTTTATGAAATTATAGTGTTAGAAATACGACAACTTGTTTAACGTATAATTCAACATCACAACAAACACATTTACTTAAATGTTTGCATATCATTTGAAGTAACACCTTGATTCCATTTTCAACTTCAATTTTAAAAGTTTGACTACAACAATAACAAAACAATTCAAAACCCTAACATTTGAATCAACTCAACAACTAACCAAGTGTGGCAGACCTACATATGCAACTTCCGATCCGTCAACCACATACGAAGCGACAACTGTGATATAGATTGGGTCACAAATGATTGCAAATAATTTATGTGTGTAGATAGAAACAAAATCGTAATACAAATGGGGATTTCCGGCAAGAACAAAGAAGAAGACAAAGAAAGAAGAAGAGAGAGAACGAGAATTGGGAGAAGAGAAAAAAGAAGATAGAACCGGACCAAGAGAGAGAAATAATAGTATCAAATAATAGAAAGGTAAGAGAAAGTAATGTTAGGGAAAATAGGTCATTGTAAATCAACTAAGTGACATCGACAACAAATCAAATACGGACAAGTCAAGGCACATTTCATTAATCAAGTAGTTGAAGTAGAATAAAATGACATTTTTAGTTAGAAAAAGTATATTTTTAGACACAAATTACCCTCGAAAGGAATAGGTGGCGTTAATAGAGTAAAGTTTATTAGTGTGATTTCCACAGTTATTAATTTTCTTATATTATAGATTTAGATGACATGATAAATTATTGGTTTATTATTGGACAATAGTGTAGGGGTAGAAATATTGAGACTAAGTCATTGGATTGACTTAATTCGTACAAATCAAATAAATATCGTCACCGCACTTTATTGTTTCCAAAGGAAATGGGAAAATAGTGAATAAACCAAAATAAGAGGGGGGAGAATCTACGTACGGGGTTGATTATGCATAGAAAATGTATTAGCACCCTAAACATCTACAATACTCTACAGGAATCTCTTTAAAAATATGTGTATTTTGGCTATAAAAGATGTATACAAAATAAGATGGTGGAGATGAGAAAATTATTTTTTTTACAATTTTTGCACCCGCCGTGGTTGTGAACCTTTAGTACCTACATACCACCTTCCATGCAATAGGGGATCAGGGTACTCGTAGTTCACCTTAAAAATTTTAAAACACATGTGTGTTGGTTAATTTTAAGAGAAGAGACATTATTGTCATATCCGAATGGAAGACATACTTACTACCCACGATTATGAGAAAGGAGAATTTGTATCATCTCAAAGTGAAAGATATAATTTGGATTTTAAAATCAACAAAGCCTCACTCAACACCCAAATGAAAATATCTCACTTCACTATATATCATAGAAGTATAGTAGCTCGTCTCACTACAAAAACCGACAATAGTCTAATCTTTTGGGAAAAAGTTTTAAAGTGAAAAGCCAGAGTAGAAAAATGATTTGAATGAGGTTAATTGATTTTTATTCTTTCAAAATATGTCAAAGTATGATTAAGTTGATTAAAGTTTGATTAAGAAAAACATTTTTGAAAATGTATGGACCTAAGTCCAAGTTTATTATGAAAGCGACTCAATTTAGAAAACAAGAAGAGTTTTGAAAAGGAGGGAGAAGATTTTTGAAATTAAAGAAGATATGAGGAGATGAAGGGAATATCCTAAGTGCACAAAGTAAAAGCTAAGGAAAAGAATGGTTTAACCAACAAGAAGCCAACACTTGACATGAAGAAGTCAATGTAGATTTCTCACCCTTTGGATAAAAACCAAGCAAGCAAGAATACTAAACCTCTAAGGAACACCAATCTTCAGATGAATTAAGTCTTCACAAAAATTGGGCAGAGTAACAACTGTATACAAAGGAATTCTCAATTACAGATAAAACGTGAAAATCAGAATAACCTACACACAAAGAAAAAATCAACTCAATGCCTTGGAGTAAATCCCAAGAACTTCAGACAAAATAACAACAGAGCAACAAGGTCCCCAAGTATCAAGGCTTCTAATCCTAAGTCTGAGAGGTCCACAACTCCATAATGGCAAGGATAGTAACCAATAGTCTAAGTAACCTTAAAGCTTTTAATGTTCAAGTTGATTATTAAGTGTCTTTAAAAGAAAAGAAAATTCAAGTGAGCAAATAAAAAATGACATAAAATTAAATGCTCAAGTGAGCAAAGGAAAAAAAAAGATGACATGAAATGTAAATGCTAAAGTAAATGATACATAAAAATAAAGGCACAAAATAAAGTCGTAAAGTAAAGTTAATTGTTAGAAGTTAGAGGGTTAGCTGAATGACCATTTTGAAGCTTGTTTCTGAAAATTCATTAGAAGATTGATAAAATTAAAGTTTCTCAACAACAAGTTTCATTTAATTTTTGTCAAGTATATCATTCATTTCAAGTGCTCAAAGAAACCACATATGATCAACGATGTTCAAATGATTCACTTAGACCAAAATTCATGAAGTTCATTAGAGGATTGATAGAATCAAAGCCTCATAACAATGAACTTCAAAGTTATTGGATCCAAGATTTAAATTAAACATACTTGGGCTTACAAACATATGTTTGAGCCATGAATGATCTTTTTTCAATTCGGGACAAATTTAGCGCTATGTTAAGCAATCGTAAGTGGACTTATGTAGAAGACACACCTATTTTGAGGTCGGTCAATAGCAATCTATGTACCAACATGTTAGAGAAATGATATGTAGATCATTCTTCAAAAATATGTAACACAAGTAAAAACAAGAAAGGGATGAGATGAAGAGGGAGAGGAATGATAGTATAAACAATGTATCAGATGAAATTAAGGTTTCAAATATCATCAACATCATTCATTCATTTTGGTGGATTTGATTTTTCAACCTATCAACACCCAAGTTCCAATGAGGTTGAGGAACTTGTCCAAAAAAACACTCAAATGTCTCAAAATCGGGACAAATAAAAATAATAATATATATTTACTATAAAACAAATTTTAAATGATTAAAAAAAAGAAATAATTGATAAAATACACAACATGTATAAAAATTCTAAAAAAAAATATCATAAGTCAAACATGAGTCAACAAGTGTTGACAAATTTTTTTAGAATTTTTTAAAGTCAGAAACTGTTTTTAAAACTTAAAGAAATAAGCAAAATAAACCAAAATTAGTGAAAAATAGTAAAATCAAAAATAAAAATAAAATGAGGTCACCAATACTTATCAAGAGGTCATTCGATCCTTCCATAATTTTTCTAGAATTTTAAAATCAAGAAAAGTATTTTTAAACAATTAAAACAAGTCAAATAAAGTGAAAAATCATAAAAGAAATACCAAATTACAAAATAAAATTGTGAAAAATAAAAATCAGAAAGAGAAAAATCAAAAGTATTTTTAATAATTTTTTCACAATTTTAGATGTTGAAATGATTTTTTTATGAATTTTTGAAGTTCAAAGCAATTAAAACAAAAATCAGAAAATGAAAATAATATCAAAATAATGTGGTGTGTTGGATCTGGACTCACTTATATACGTTGGCAAATCCAAGGGCCCTCAGGTGATGGAGTATAATGAATCCAAGTCAATGCACACACATATCACACATAAAAGTCGGGTCAATCGGATTAAAACACTTGGTCATATATCATTAATTAAAGAACGACACGTAGGTCGTCTTCAACCTCCAGACTCCTGCGCGTTGTATTCTTATAAAAAACGGAATTGTTTGAAGCTTAAACCGGTATCGTTGGATTCATCTCTTCCAAACGATCCTAACCTCACTCTCACGAAAAATTTCTTTAAACCATAGCTTAGTCAATTTGCAAAAAAACAGAAGAAAAAGTGAAAACGAGTTTGTAAATTAAATGATCAATTTTCTATGAAATCACAAACCAGA